TTTTGATTTCGGGACCCATGACCTGTCTCCTACCCAATCCTAATCTATGCCTCTATATACACACTAGTCTATGTCGGTCTTTGAAAGGGCCTTTCCCTCAGCACCTCTGTAACTTCCTCCTCTTCCTACCCTTAGCAATCGCCTGAGATTATTCTAAGTCAATAAAGTCCAAGACCAGGGCTGGCCTGTGGCTCACTCGGGAGAGTGTGGTGCTGATAACACCAAGGCCATGGGTTCGGATCCCATATAGGGATGGCTGGTTAGCTCAATGGCTGAGTGTGGTGCTGACAACACCAAGCCAAGGGTTAAGATCCCCTTACTGGTCATCTTTTAAAAATAAATAAATAAATAAATGAATAAATAATAAAGTCCAAGCCCAAATGACATCTAAAAAAATTACTCATCCTAGCAAACACACCAGTCTGGTAGCAACTTGGCAGTGGGCTACCTCCTCTGGCCTCCCTTCTCCTCTAGCTCTGGGCAGCAAAGCCCAGGGTCTGCTCTACATTTGTTCCCTCTTGTTCTACACCTCAAGTCATCCCCACAAGTCATAGACTGAGGTCTCAGAGCCTTGGGCCTGCTCTCATAGGAGCCACCCTCAGGTCTCATCCAAGGACACTATCTTTTCTACAGGATTGGCTCTAGAACACTCTCTGAAGATACAAGACAGCTGAGACCTTTCTCCCAGATACTCCTATAGCAACTGGTACACTCCCTGCGGTACTAACGGCTATCACCTGGAGTACATGGCTCAGTTTTCTCTACTAGAGTATAAGCTCTGAGAAGGCCAGACCCTGTCATACTTCTACCACCCTTCTACACTATGCAAAGTCATACACATAGGGGGACCCCATCTACCTATTTCAAATTTTGTTTGAGGCAACACTGGAGTTGGAAATTATGTTTTTATAGTAGTTATTTAACAAATCCTACGTTCCAGCTAAAAAAGGGGAGACCACAGCGACTGTGATGCCACCAGCGAATGCTAACAGTGTTCTTCACGCTACTCAGAGAGGTGCTGAGACTCGTGCTCATGTCTACCTGGGCTGACCAGAGGCCACGAAGACAGTAGTCTTGCTGCTTCAGTGCTATGGTCCAGGGGCTGTAGAGAGGCCAGTCTCTAGGGGTCAAGTCAAAGTCTATTCAAGCTGAAAAAAGAACTGCTAATGGGGGGGAAATTTTATTTTACTGGAACCTTCACATTTAAGCCCTCAACTACCGCAAACTTTATGAACTCATGCACCTCAGTTTGATCCCAACAATAAGATTATCCTGTATTAAAAAGAACATAGTTGAGGTAGAGCTAAAGGCTAAAACAAAAGGCATCCCTGGCTGTGTGTTTCCACAGGGTCTAATTCTGGGGAAATTACAAATTCAGAAACCCCAAGGCCTGCTCAAAAGGGAAGAAAAGAACCCCGCTCTGTATTAAGGTAGGGTGTTGCTTTGATGGAGAGTGGGGGTGCAGAAAATTGTTCTGTTCCATATTTTATTACATCAATGGCTTGAAAATGTTTATTTAAGTTCAGCAAATATTGGAAATAGAAAAATGAATTCTGCAGAATTTCACAATTTTCCAATTTCCACTAACATGTTATCATTCGATGGCTAAGCGATTATAATGCTATGAACATTCACAATGAATGTGCTGAAATAGAAAACAGGCAAAGAGAGACATTAAAATATTACTTACAACAGCATTATTACAACATATTTTCTTTAAAATTCCAACATGGATTTTATCACTTCAAAAGATATACAGCATTTCCATTATATTTGCAAACTTAACCTTATACATCTTTTAAAATCTCGAAAAAATTTTAAGCAATCTAAAAAGCACTTAGCAAAGTTGATAAGTCTACGTAATGGAATACTATCCACTCCAGTATAAATTGTTGTTTGAGGAGAAGGTGACTGTAAACACTCATTATTATACAACATGCATAGACTATAATGACCTTCCTTCTTCTGAATTGTAACATTACTGCAATTGTGCTTTACTACAATTAGGAAAAGCTGTAGAGATCCAGGGACTGGCAGAAAGAGCATTGCACAAGATCACTAGACTCAGATTACCTAACTACCTTGAATCAATTTGAGGCAAAGTTTCACTTGATAGTAAACTTGAATCCTGGTCACTAGATTTAGAAACAGGCTAGACAAGAAAGAAAAGGAGGCTCTCGTTTGAGTTGGCTCCATCTTTCCTTTGCTCACATAAAAGCAGGGGTCCAGTTAGTGTAATGCACTGTTTGGCTTATTTTTGGTGTGCAATTATACCAATAGTACATCTGATATTTAGAAAGACAAAAATAGGGTATAGTTGAAATTTAAAGTGACAACAAGCACACTTATAGTGGTGTATGATATTTGAGGGAACTTTATATAAACAGAAAACAACTGCTTAATTAGTCCACCACGGTAAGCTTTTAAAACTCAACCACTTTTTCATTTTTGTTTTTTGATTAGAGGTTTGTGACCATCAAAGGGTCTTATAGGCTAAAAACTATCAAAAACCATTTTGAGGAAGTGGTGTCTTGACATAGCAGGCATGCTACACCAACCTCTGGCTCCTGCCAACACCAGCACCTGGTTGTGTGCCACCACTAAGCTAATCAGCACAACTGAGGCATGGTTACTTCCTGGTTAAAAGAGCTATATTACAGAATTGATCACTGTTGCAGACCAGTCAACACAATATTCAAGTAACAAGGTGTTTAAATGAATAAGTGAAAAAAATTTTACCTAACACTTTACACATCTACATAAAATTAAATAAAACAAACTTTTAATGCATATGCAATACAATTTTTATCTTTCAGGATTTCTAAACTAAAAGTTAAACTATTATTTGCGTCAATGATACTATATTTTGCACAATAACTTATACTTAGGAGAAATTTTCCACAAAAAAATATATAATTATGACATTCACATTGATAATTTCGAAGAAGACAAAGCTTAAGTGAACATTCCATCTGAAGCAGTTATCACATCCCAAACACTACCTGCCAATGCACCTAAATCTTGATATGTTAAAAAGTCTTCACATAAATAAGACCAAACCACTTAGCTTTTAAAGCTAAGTGATTTCTTGCATTTATACCACTGCAAAGACAGTGTAGTGAAAAAAAGTTTAAAACACAGTGCTATCTTATGCATGAAACTACAACAAAGGCAGACAGGCAAAGACAACTACTTTTTTTCCCCTCTGTCAAATGAAAATGGCATGCCCTTTTCTCTCAGAGAGAAAGCCAAAATTCAGCTGCTGCGATCACAAGTATACCAGCACAGTGACTGTTCTGGGCTGGAGGCCACTCAGTGCCAGGAACCACGTAAGGGGATAGTGCAGAATACAGATAAATGCCCGGCACTGCTGGTCTGCTTGCACACTACACAAGAATTAGCATTAAGCTTCCATGCATTGCCAGGAGGGATCAGTTCTTAAGGAAAATAGCCTGGGACTGAAGAGAGAAACACATCTACTGGCAGAGGGAGAAACCCACTGCAGCAGTTGACTACTGCTTGTGTTAACAAGAAAAGAGGTCTTGAAAGTAAGGAGAACCTAAAGCTTCACTTCGTGCCTTAGTGTCCCCTTAAAGTGATGTGCAAAACTTACGCCAACTCCTTCCCATGTTTTTCCTGCCATCCTTCAATTACACAGCAGGCTTATGAGATAAAAACAAAAAGAAAGCCCTACCTCATTACTAGTGTTGTTTTGCTACCCCATCTCCAGGGAGGGACAGCAGGCTGTGCCTCCTCTAATGCTGTTTTCCACATGCTTTTACTTGACCAACCTGGCACAGGGACAAGGTGGTGAAAGCCGGGAAAGTCCCACTGTACTCCCCCTTTGAATGACCGTTCTCCAGACTTCTAAAAAAGAATGTATAGTTCCAAAAAACCTAGGTTTCTAGCTGACTCACTTTCTAAAGAGAAAATCAACTGATTTAAAAAAATAATAATTAAAAAAAAGCAAGGTGCTTGGGAGTCAAAACACATCAAATTTTAATTGCATATTTTAAATTCTTAAGAATTCTGTTTATGCCTTAAAGCATCTGCATTTTTTTTTCTTTTTGGTATTGAAAGCAGAAAAATATATTTAAATGATGCAAACCACAACAATAGTAACAGCTACTCCAACACACTTAACGCAGTCTGAGAGGCCGGGCTGGGAACAGACAGGGTATGATGCAGTTTGACAGTCTGCTCCTCAGCAGCAGGTCTATGGTCTGGTAAGAGAATGAAAGTGATTCCACAAGTCTCAGAACATTTACTGAAAAATTTTACTTGTTCCCAGTCCAACCAAAAGGTATTACATACCACTTTGTAGGTTGTTTCTTTTCATCGTGGTCTCACCAGACCAATGCATTGATTACTTCTCTGTCCTGTACTCTGATATTTAAAGAGAAGGATGGAGTTTGTGTGATCACGTCAATACATGAAGGACACAAAAGGACATATGCAGTGACACATAAAAGGCCAGACATACCAAGAGAATGGGGAACAATGTGTGGCTTTTATAACACCATCACCAACTATCCTAATATCCTTTATTGAATTAACCTGACATTTAAAATCTGTACTCTGTCTGCAGCAAGCTCTCCCTGTCTCCTAATCTCAGTGATGTCATCTTTGGCAAGCAATAAACTTTAAAGAAGAAATAAGACACTAAAACAGAAAAAAGATTGATAACATGGTTGCCAAAAGGAGAAGGCACCAATTCCAAATGTACAAGCACCAGGTACAGTGATATGGACCGAATCTCTTGGAGTTGGGTGGTTATGGTGGTAGGGAGGATCAGGAAAAGATGGGGTGGCACCCACCCTGGGATTACAATGTTGAAAGTTGAAGGCAGAAAGCGTTGAGGTCCACATTCCCTTTAAACTACTGTGTCCAGGGCCGGCCCCGTGGCTCACTCGGGAGAGTGCGGCGCTGGGAGCGCTGAGGCCGCGGGTTCGGATCCTATATAGGGATGGCCAGTGTGCTCACTGGCTGAGCATGGTGCGGATGACACCGTGCCGAGGGTTACAACCCCCTTACCGGTCAAAAACAAACAAACAAAAAAAACCTACTGTGTCCAAAGAGAGTTGCTGTAAATGAGCTTTTTACCACTTGGAAAGGAAGAAGGGAGAGATTTAAACCAACTAAACTTATAAACCGTAATTATACCCTATGTTTAGGGAAATGTGAGTTGCATCAGGATGCTTGGCACGATAAAGGTTACAATGCAGTCTGCCAATATATTGTGATTTCCAATGAAGCATGATATCATTTAGGTGGTTGTCTTGGAAAAGAGCAAAAGAAACTTTCTAGAAGGCCAAAATCATAGTCACTCTGAAAATTACATTATGCACAAAGTAGAAACTGCAGGCCATGCAGGAACAGAGTCGTGCCTTCCAAGTAGACTACCTGTTCTGAAGCTGACTGGGAAGAGCTGCCGTTGGTGGGGCTCCGGGGCTCCGACTGGGGAGGTGGGTCCCAGAGTCACAGGAGGTGTGCAGGCCATGAGATTTCCCCAACACTTAGGCAGAGTGTGAGAGATGTAATGGAGCTCTCTGGGAAGTGGCGCCAACATGGAGGAACGAGCAAAGAATTAAGGCAGATGTAGCACAGGACTGGAAGTGTATATATGCCTTTTTGGTAATAGCTGCTTGTCCACAGGGATGTGATGCAGATGGCTAGGTGATGTCTCATAATACCTGATATCCTGGATAACGTAGTAGTCCACACCAAGTGTTCAAAGCTGCCAGAGTTTCTCATGAGGCAGATGCATATCTGACGTCAAGAACAGAAGCAGCCTGAGGACAGAAGGGAAGACAGGGATGAAAGAGCAGGTAAACAACACAAACTGCTGACTCTGGTGTACCAAAAAGCAGAGGGTGCGAACCCACCCAACGTATATAGCAAGTACAGTGCACTACAAACACACACCCCTGTGGACAGCATAAAAGTATGGCCTCTAGAGCTGGATGTCTGGGGCTCAAATCCTGGCTCTGCCCCTTTCTAGTTGTATGACTTCGGGGCAAGTTACCTTTTCTTTTTGAGCTTCAGTTTCCTCATCTGCAGAATATACACAACAATGCCCCTGTGGACAGCATAAAAGTATGGCCTCTAGAGCTGGATGTCTGGGGCTCAAATCCTGGCTCTGCCCCTTTCTAGTTGTATGACTTCAGGGCAAGTTACCTTTTCTTTTTGAGCTTCAGTTTCCTCATCTGCAGAATATACACAACAATGATGCCTATTTCACAGGATTAAGTAAAAATATCTGAACAGGGCATATTAACGCAGTGCTTGGCAAACAGTGAGGCTCAGGTATGTTACCAGTCATAGGTGCATGATTTCCCTGGGGATGCTGCAGCAGCTGCCCCAGTCCACAGCAGCCATGAGGTCCTGCTGGGATACAGAAATACCTAAGATCGCAGGACCTTCCTGTAAAGCTACAAATGGATTTCCTAAATCCCTTACCCAATTTATTTTACTTATTTTCTTGGTGGCTGGCCGGTACAGGGATCAAACCCTTGACCTCGGTGTTATCAGCACCACACTCTAACCAACCGAACTAAGCAGCCAGCCCTCCCTTCTCACATTTTTCAAAATTGTCTTCCAGGCCCAAACCTAAAGTTTACATGGTGTCTCGTTGCTAGGGAAACAACTGGGCTATAAATCAAAAATCTGAAAAGCGGCTGATCCTTCCACTGAAATCACATTTTAGAAGAGCTGTTTTTGGTTCAATCAGGAGATTTCTCCTCACTGGTAATATACTCGATCATTCCAAACTTTTTTTTTTTTTTTTTTTTTTAAGATCATTCCAAACTTTTAAGTGAGAATCTTTATCTCTAATCCAGTCGTTTTTAGCATCCCTCCATGCCCTTCCTTCAATGCAAGGTTGGATGTGCACCCCTGCCCCAGTACCCAATGCTTGACCAACTTAAAGAGCTCTCAATCTCAAAAGCTCAAATCCCTTAAACGATTCTGCCTTTTTAGCCCAGAAGGAAATAATCTGTAACTGACAGATTATGTTACTAGAACTTCTAGCAATTCTGATGTTCTCCTCCCTGTGTGTTCCACATAATACATAAAATCTGAGGGCAGAGGGGACAGGCCGGCCACCAAGAGACATCTTTTTAAGCTGCTGGACTCCATGTGATAAATAAGAATGTGCAATTTTACAAACACTCCAATTTCTGAGCACTGACCGGACAGACAATTAACCAGCATTCTACAAGTTCCCTTAGGCCCCTGGTGAACACAAAGAAGCAGTTGGTCATTACAGATTAACTTCCTTCTGCAAAATAACATAAGAAGAACCAAAAACCAGGGTGGTGGGGGAGGGCTGGTTCCATAAGAAGCACAAAAAGAAAGGGACTAAAGAAATAGAGAAGGAGGGGAGCTGGAGGGAATGTTTTAAATAACTAAGGGAAAGAAAACCTTTTAAAGGTGATGTAAAGATTATAAAGATTAGTTAGGGGCCGGCCTGGTGGCGCACTGCTACAGTGCGCCGCTTGGGAAGCGCAGCGGCACTCCCGCCGAGGGTTTGGATCCCACATACAGACCGGCCGCTCACTGGCTGAGCGAGGTGCGGGGGCAACACCGAGGGTTGCGATCCCGTTGCCGGTCACAAAAAAAAAGACAAAAAGGAAAAAAAAAAAGATTAGTTAGATAATACCATTCTCCTGTTTGTTTTTTGGAGAGAAGGCTGGGTAAACAAACACATGGAAGATTAACCAACAAAGAGAAACTAAGATTGCTGCTTGGTGGAAAAAGAAATTATATAGGTATTTTCAGTATAGTCAATATGATTAAGTGGACCATTAAGGGTGGACCTCTGCATTAAGAAAGAGAAGTAAAAAAGTACTTGACTTATCTGTTAGTAAATGAACCAGGCATAAAAGAATGAAGAAAAAACATATGCAAAAGAACTCATACCCTGTTGGTGGTGATTCTTGGATCTAAATTTACTATCACATTTTTTATGCATGCTCTGCTAACACAAGGTTTCATTAAATATGACGATGGAACACAGCCAGAGTTTCCTATTATTTCTGTGTCTAATAATCCTGGGAAGTTGGAAACACACATGGAAGAAAACTTGCAAATTCTAATGTTCCTTCCCCAGCAGCCCCATCATTTCAGAGCTTCCTAAAATGAGTTCAGGACTTCCAGGAAGTTAATTTGTTGTTAAAGGGGCAAATAGCACTGGGAGGAAAAATCACTCCTAAATGTTAAAAGCAATTTCATTTCACTCATAGGCTATTATGTTACAGGTTCTTGGGATGGACCACACATGCAGGTGACTCAAGCGTACAACTCACACTGGCAAAATTACAGACTTTGTACACTTATTACAATGATTTTCTGGTAGAAGCCTCTAAAGAATTTAACAAAATGTTTCAACACTTTTATAACAGGCGGAAGTGCCTTGAGGCCCTTTTTCAAATTGGCACTGAAGCCCTGTATGAACCAGTGACAGCATGCTCTCAGGGGATGTCGCCTTCTCACATGGCGCTCCCAAGTGTAAGTCAGGAGGGGACTTCTGGGCTGTTTCTAGAGCCAGACTCTTACAGCAAAGGAGTAGCACACATGACAGAAAACAGATCATCTCAAACCATTCCTGCATGGTTTGAGGAAGACTTTCATGAGAAATTGACTTCGCTTATAAAGCCAAATTAATCCTTAAATCACCATGTCAGTGAACACATTCAGATATAAAGTGATTGGCAATCCCCATTCTCATCTGCCCTGGGAAGGGAGGTAGAAATGTAGCAGGGTGGGCCAGGCTAGAGGGGGAAATGACAAGCAACCCTGGCACAGAATGGGGGAGGTGGCAGCTTGATTGAGTTGGTGAAATCAGTGCCACCAGCCCAGAAATCACTAGAATGTAAGCCACCATCCTAGAAGTTCTAGCCAGCCACAGGCCTAAAACTGTCCCCAACGATACTTAAGCCAGTTAGCCCCAAATGGCATCAAAGCCTGGAAGATTTGGACAGCAGAGACAGACCTCAGGAGCTCCTGGTTGGCTTGCTGTGCAGACTCATCCAGTAAATTCATTAACCTCAGAATATGACAACACACTTTACATAACTAAGCTTTACTGACATTCCTCAAGGCACTTCCAACTTCCTGTTTCATTACAGTTTTTACTGTATTTAAGGAAATATTGGTAACTGTGTGGTGGGAGGATAGAATTAAGGGCTGGATAGTCAGCTCAGTTGGTTAGAGTGCAGTGTAATAACACCAAGGTCAAGGGTTAGGATCCCCATACTGGCAGCTGCCAAAAAAAAAAAAGAATTAAGAATTTTCCCAGGAATTAAAATGTGAATAATATACAGTGATCAATAATTGACTGCAGTAAACACACATATATTACAGTATTTTCAGGATAAGGTTACTGATACAGCTGAAACCTGAAAATATATCTACAGCTGAAAAAGTCATCCTTTCAAAAATTAAGTGGAATACAGAGCATGAACCTGGCAGAGAAGAGATTGTATTGTTTCAGATTTACCTCATCTTCCTCTTCAGGCATCTTAAGAGAATTATCCGGGGACTTTACAGGTTTCTGGTTACTTGGCCCATTAGTCTCTTCTTTACCATGTTCTGCCTCCCATTCTTGTAAAACTTCATCTATGTTGAAGCGGCGTCGATAATTTACAAAAAAGTTTTTCACTTGAACCACTGATTTGTTTCCAATCACATCTGAGATTGCCTGAAAATCTCGGCCATATTTCCTGATGGCTAAGGATGTAAGAGAGCATTTTTTTTCAATACAAGAGAAGAACAAATTTTAAAATACCACACTTGAGACTTACCCCTTTATCCAGATAAGGTAACACAGGCTTTTCATAGCAGGCACTATCTTAGTGTATTATACCAATGGAAAGAAGCAGTGGTCAATTCTAGATACATTCTGTACATGACTGTTCAACAAAGTTCAGTAAGACCTTGTCATCAAGACATTGTCTTCCCATCATATAGTTGTAGACATTCTCCATTTGTCTTTTCAGGAGCGCCAGGTCCAGAGAACCTCCAACCTTAAAATTCTAACACTTAATTTGCTTCTTTTGAGATTGTGTATTTTCCTGACTATTCAGAGCTCAACAAATAACTGCTAAAACGAAATAGTTACACCCTTTGAAAAATGAGGCTTCCATGTTATTTTTTACAACTTGTGAGAAATGAGAAAGGAAAAAAAAATGTAAAGCCCAAGGAAATACAGTAATTTCGCTAAGAGATATCCACTAGGAGAATATTATCCTCCAAGAATTTGATTCAATATGAGGATGTGCTGGGAGCAGGGTAGTACATAACTTTTTCCTAAAAATCTACCATTGTTCATAAGCTCTTTATAAGGAAAAACTTCCCCATACCTTGTACAGCGAGAAGCTGCTCTTCTGTGGTCCAACGTGCATTACATTTCTGAATGACCTGGATATCAAAATGAGTCATTTTAGTACATTACATTTAGAGATGAGTATGTCCTCATGAGGGTTTAATGAACATTTCTTTTTCTCACATCAAAATTTTAACATCAACTAGATTCATAAAAGTATGTCTATACCCTTTCTAAGGTAAAAGATGTATACTGCAGATACATCACATAAATATTAAATTCTTAAACATGTAAAACTTGGGTATGATTTCTGAGATGATGTTAACATAATCCTACCTCTGGAAGTCGATATGGCTCTATTCCACCATCAAGTTTTTCTTTGAGAGCACTGTTTGTTTGCTTAATATTCTGAATCTAAGAGGGGAAAAAAAGATTTTCATTTGAAAATGTAGATGTATGAAAAGAAAATAGGACTAAGAAAACTAAAAAAACCAACAAAAAACCAAAAAGAGGCTCCTAACCTCTGTTGTAGCCAAAACTTGAGGTCCCTTTAGTATCCTTTGAGAGCATTTAACTAGATTCTCTAATTTGCTTGCTTACAGTAAACAGATAATGGATGTCTGAGAAGGGGATGGTGGTAAAAAGTCTCTTGAGTACACGGTCCTAATCTACTGTTTCCTAACAGGTGATCACCTGAGCCACAAAACACACATCTGGTGTCTGCAACAAAAGACAAAGACTGGAATGTCTGGGCTTCCTACCATATAGAATTGAGCTGTTACTTCAACAGAGCAGCCACAGTAAAGGCCTAAGAGGCATAGGCTTTACAAGAGAACTGCAGCTACAGCCACAAAGAGCCCCCGGCACTGTGCTGTCCAGGCACGCCACTAACTATACCCAGGGGAGAAAGATGCAAGTGCAGACTTCTTTAATGGGGGGAAAAGAGAAAGCAATTTGTCAGCAAGTTTTCCCTAAGCCCAACTTTGATGAACTGTAATTTCTTCATTTTCTCACAAATTACCTTTTTTTACATTATCCCTTTGACTCAGTGTTCCTAATATTTCACTCCCTTGCCCAATCAAAAGAAAGATACAAACAATACAAACTTTTATTTCCCCCTGGACTCCTGAACAAGACAAGTCATGGAAGCATGCCCTTTCCTCTGAACTCCAAGCAGAGGGACGTTTCTGGGCCAAGCACTAGGGGAACTCTGATTCTAGTATTTCTCGTCTTTGAGTAATCACACAAGCAAATATGAAAGCAAAGGAAGAATGGACTGATTTTCTCAAGCAAAACATCAAAGATATTCATGAGTAGAAGATGCTTCCAAAAGAAGAAATGTTACTCATAAAAGCAATTGAAGAAAAGCAGGGCTTCGGAGGAGGCAAAGGGGTGGGAGAGGGGGGGGATGGTAGTGGAAGACACTGCTGTACAGGCATTTCTAATAATTCTCTCTCCTATCCTCTTTTTTTTTTTGGTCCTTTTTTGAGACCGGCCGCACCGCGCTCAGCCAGTGAGCGCTGTGAGCTCACCGATCATCCCTATATAGGATCCGAACCCACGGCGAGAGCGCTGCTGCGCTCCCATCACCGCACTCTCCCGAGTGCGCCACGGGCTTGGCCCTCTCCTTGAGCGCTGTGAGCTCACCGATCATCCCTATATAGGATCCGAACCCACGGCGGGAGCGCTGCTGCGCTCCCATCACCGCACTCTCCCGAGTGCGCCACGGGCTTGGCCCTCTCCTATCCTCTTTTTAAAGACTTTTTATACTTACACAATTTTTTGAAAGTCCATTTTTTCAAGGGCTCACATTTTAGAGAATTCCAGTTTCACACATTCTTTCCTCCTGTTCTATTTTTTCTAAGAGGTTCAAAAGGGAGGGGACATGTGTAGGAAAAAATTTTCTCACTGGGAGACCAGTGGCCAAGTAAATAAGACCAGCACTGTGAGGCCTAGAATCTGACCCTCTTTGCCATTAGTAAGTGCCTCAGAGTCTACCAGAAATATAGTCCACTCCAAATCATTCTGCATTTATACCAAAACAGAAAGAAGACTGAAAATAAAAATACAGGAAATGTGCACAAAATTTACCCTACAATAAAACCACAAATGGGGACCTTGATTTGCTGAAATGTGCTTTAATTCACTTTGTGTTGAAAAGGTACACATCAGAAGAAAATAAACTGGTACTAGAACTTTACTCAAAGGAAGTTCCTGGGAAAGTAATGCCAAGTTCTCACATCAGAACTGACAACAGAACTCTGATGATGGAAATGCTCTGAGGCTGTGCTGTGCAATGTGGCTGCCCCGCCACTGGCCACATGTTGCAATGAAGCACCTGAAATGTGGCTTATGTGACTGAGGGACTGAATTTGTTATTTTTTCTATTTTAATTAATTTAAATTAAAATAACCATATGTGGCTGCTAGCTACCATACTGGACAGCATAATTATCAGGCTCATGCTCAGTGCTCTTTCAGTTATCAAAAACCCTTAAAATACTGCAAGGTACTCAGATTATGTTCACTGAATTTGCCTTAGGCTAAAAACTAGACTTAGAAACTTCCAACAAGGAATAAGCCAATACTTTCCTCACTTTAACTGGCTCTCATAGATGGCACAAAACTGGGCATTTAATGCATTTTGATTAAGTAACATGCACTTTCCAATGAGGTCAATGTGTTTATACATGCATTTTCTGTCTAAAATCAATAGATGAAGAAGCTGAGAAACTAAAATGCAAAATACACAGATTCTGAACCAAAAATTAGTTCTAAATTTTCATTAGACTACACCCGTTCCTGATGCATTTTCCATATTAGAATTAACCAGTGTTTATTAATCAGAGTAAGAATAGGTGTTAGTTGCCAGCATCATGCCAACAGGAAAGGAAGCCAGAGTGGCAACATGATAGGCAAGAAATAGGATACAAAAGCAATCAGCATGTACAGAAAAAACAAAATC